CGTAGATAATTTTCCACTATAACATTTTTCACGTTTGACATATTCACCTATAACATATACTCATAGTGTTCCCTGTAGCATTACCTGAATTTATTATTTATTCACATAGAACAATTATTTATAGCATTTCATATCACCTTACTCAACTTATCATTTCTTCACATAGAACCTATACTTATATTGTTTCATATAGCGTTATTCAAATTATTAGTTGTTCTTATAGAACATATTCACATAAATCATATACTTATAATATTTCACATAATATATATATTCATAATAATGAAATTGAAACAGTACTTTTAAAATACCATTTAGATAAAACCGTCACATGATACAATTTATTTGGTTCATAAACATATGAGGTTGGTTCATCGCAAGCCGTCCCCTAATTTTATACAAAGTAAGTAAGAATGCACTCATCTTTGCCTCACTTAAGCCATGTACCACATCCTTTTCACTTTAGCTCACTAACTTTACACGTCCATTCACTCATCACTTGTTTTCGATCAAATCTACATATTAATATAACCCATGAATATCGAAGCTCAATTGCATCTACCCGATTAACCTTTACTTAAACGAAATAAAACACTTAATTTAACATTTCAGACTGAATAGTATTGGTAATCTACCCACAGTACCGATACTTCTCTTATATGGTACAAATACCTATCGTAGTACCAATATCATTTTAGCATTCTGAAATTTCATTTTCCATTACAGTATTGATACCTTACTCTTGGTATCAATACCTCCACATCAGTATCGATACTACTTCAATTAGTATCAATATTGTTCATCGGATTCATACTCAATCATTTAATTTAACCCTATAGTATCAATATTGTTCTTCCAGTATCGATACCCTTACCCAGAATCCATATATTTCATTTCAAACTTTACCTAAAATTCACTTAAATCTCTTACCTTTAACTATATTCACGCATTCAAACTCATTTACACTTATTCACACTAACTTATATCAATTAAAACCCCTTTAACATCTAAAATATTCCATATAACTCTTGAAACTAAAAATCATACAAATTCTTCAAACATGTTCTCAATCCTTTCTAACACTTCTAACGTCTTAATTAGACCTTTGACAAGTCAAATATTTCTTTAAAACTCCAAATACAATCAATTTTCCATCAATTATAAGCTTCTCTACCAACCAAAGGACCAAAACTCAATCACAAATGAAAGGAATAACCAATTTCAAATCACTTACCTAAGCAAAGGGGAGTTTACGATGGAGAGGAAAAAGAGAAGAACTAGCTTCCAAATATTTCCTTTATTCTTTCCTTATTTCCCACATGCTTAAATAACCTTTACAATAAATTTTAAATCCTTTTCATGACAAAAGACCACTTTTCTCTTCTAATGTTCAATCTTTGATAATAAGTCCTAGTCAAAAAATTCCAAATCAATCCTTGAACTTTTCTATTTATTGAAATTAACCCGCTAAAATTTAAATCCTTACACTTTAGTCACTAACCTGATATTTGAGGTATTACAAAAACATTTTTGACACTTTTAAAAAAACCAAAACCTCTTTTAAAATATACTTACATAAAAAACCCAAAATGAGTAATATAAAACATGAAATATCATCAGTGAAACAAAGTGCCCATAACTAGTGACAAAATTATTACATCCATCAGAGGTGATAGGAAACCGACCAGCAAAACCAGTATATTAAAATAGTAGGCACATGTAACCCGAATAAGGGCAATTCAAAAGATGCAAATATTATAACAAAATATATTGTACAGAATGTGTCGATCCTCTAAGTACCGATTTGGGTGCCTATTCAAAATATTTGAAAAGGGGAAAGATGGTGGGAGTAAACAAGGGAGCTCAGTGTGTCCCAATAGCGCAAAGTAAAACTTACATATAATTTTAAAAATAATTTAACAGAGTATCATCAGAATATATTAGTAAGGTTTTATTTCAAAAGCAAAAGAATTACCCTCTAACCGAACACCAAATGCAATCCCCCATAACTGCATCTATAAGAAGTTACCCTAGGCCTAAAGGAACTAGGAGCTAACCTAAGGGAGCACCTTGGGTCCATAAAGACTTACCCTAGCCGAAGCGGAGGAGCCATCTGAGGAGAGTGCCCACAGGTCTATAAGGACTTACCACAATGCAAAAAGCAAATGAGCTACCCTATGGGAGTGCCATAGGGTCCATTAGGTCTTACCACTAGACCCATTAGGCCTAGAATCCCACCCAAGGGTCATCTTAGGTCCATATGAAATTATAAACTTGATCGGAGCTAAACCATCAGAGCTCCTAGATTTCATACCATAATTTCCCCAGTGAAAATAGTTTCAAACAATACTAGTAAATAAGGAAATCAGAGACCAAACATTTTTAGTAAACAATAATCAGAGAATATGTGTCAAACTATAATTCAAAATCAGTAAAACATATATCATGTATTCAGGAAATCAATAAACCAAAATCATTATTTTCAGTCATTTAAATCGGTCATGTTTCAAATCATATAAAACATTCATGTGCACATGATAATTCAGACATATATTTAAAAACAGATATGTAGCACACAAGGATCACACATCACAAAACGAATCAGTCTGAGAGATATACTGAACACTGGTCTCACTACGAACAAAAACAATACACGATCCTAAATTAGATCAGAACAATATTACTATCGGATTAATATACTGAACATAGTATTTAATAGAGTTACAACATAATACACAAAATCACGGCTCACGTGATTAGACAAATCGAGAGGAGCTTGGTCGAGCAGACGACGGGTCGAGAGAAATGTATGTACCTAACATAACCAAAGTCTTAAATCAATCCTTGCCCTTTTTCATATTTTTCCTTAAACAATTTAATTAAAGTAACTATGCAAGTTTGGGTTCGGAGGCCAATTTGGAGGTTTTCCAGTTAGAATTTGATGAAACAGATTTTGGATTCAGACTTAGGACATCGAAAAACATAAAATATGAGTTCTAAAAAAATTTAACTTTTTGGGTCAACGGGTTAACTCGGCCAAGTTAACTTAGTTTTCCATAATATTCGATGCAAATGATGCCCACGTGTGACGACGGCGCGTATCGACACGTGCGATGAGCCACAGGGACGGGGACGAGGACGACGGTCGAGCACTCAATAAGCAACCAAACATCAAAATCAATCCAAAACAATACCAAACTCATCCAAAATATGGATAAACAATAGAAAGAAACGAATCGAGGCTCACCATTCACGATGGACAACGGAACGACGACAGTGGGAGAAAAACTCACCTGGGTTTTGGTCATAACAAGCGGGGAACTCAAAGGCAGCGACGATGAGGCGAACTGACGACGGAATCAGCCAAAAAATTAAGAAAACAACGGTGGGTTCAGGGTTTTCTAATGAAACTTTGAAAGCTAAAACACTGTGAACGACGATCCCAAACGCAACGATATTGGTCAAGTTTTGATCGGGCTGGGATAGTGAGTCGATTGGTGGTGACGACGTGACCTACAGACGCTCACGGTAGTCGAAATCGGACTGGGATGAAACAGGGGGAAGTTTTCAACCAAACTTCACGAGGTCCTTCACGATGATCGGCGATGGGACTCAATGACCAGCAATAAGGGTTTTGAACGGGGAACAACGGGGGACGAGGCTGGAGGTAGATGAACAACAGTAGGTAGAGGGTGAGGGTGTACCGAGAGTTTCGGAAGATTCTACCCAAAATGCATTATGATTTCAGGGGGAATAGAATTGTGGAAATAAAAATAAAAAGGGTAAATCATGAGCCAAACCATTGGAAAAAAATGAACCTACAAAACTGATCTCAAATTCTATAATTTCATAAATCGGTCCCTCGAACAAATACTCAAAAATTCAGGGTGTGACAAAAATAATGGCACAGTGATTAAAAAAATTCAATCTCTAAAGTTGAGTGAGTAAATTGAAAATTTTGAAAGTACAGTGAGTAAAATAGAAATCGTATGAAAGTTCAATTATCAAATAGGTAATTTACCTTTGAAAAAATTAAAAGTACATTAATAGAAATAGGAGATAGAATAAAGTTTAATGAATAAATGTGTAATTTACCCATTTTGTTATTATTTGGGTTTGACATTATATGTTTTTATTATTATTCAATATAAAAATAACTTGAAATATAAAATAAAACAAATGGTGGTCGTCCACTATTCACCAATGTTGGAAGCCATTATCGATGGTCGTAGATGGTGATCGTTCAATCCCAGATTTCTTTGGTCGCTTCGTCTCGACCTCTTGAGTCTGAATACAATCTTTATTTTATCGAAACATGCTCTGAGTCCGATTAAAAATGAAAAAATCGAAACGTTAATTGTCATCGACCTCTGTAGATGGTGGTCGCTCGATCCCATATTTCATGGGTCGCTTCACCTTGATCCCTTTAGTCCAAATTCAACCTCTATTTTTTCATAACATGTTCCTAAGTCCACATATCAAAAGTGAGAAAATCAAAATATTTAAATTGAAATTAACAGATTTTTTTGACATTTTTCAGTGAAACAACTATCATATTTGGATTTAGCATGCCAAAGGGAGTCTCTCGATACAATTTGAGATAAAACGGTTGTGGATTTTGAAGGCCAAAGATGGTCGACAATGATGAAAATGAGCGATGGTGATGCTACAAATGGTGGAAAAGTGAAAAATATTATTTTATTATTTATTTCATATTTTAATAATAAAAAAATACTACATCATAGAATAACAATAAAATAATTTATTGTAACCAAAACAAGAATAATTTAAAATTTAACGAGTAAATTAAAATTTAATAAATAAATTAAAAAAATAAAAGTACAATTAATAAAATAAAAAATAAAGTTAACGTACTTTACCTTAAACAAAAGTTTATCAATTTAAAATTATTTTTTATATTAAATAGTTTTGAAAAATAAAAACCCTACTAATTGGGTGCTATTTAAACACATCCCACCGCCAAAAGAGAACCACCGTCGCCTTCCTCCTCCTCTAGTCCCTGACCCTAACCTTCTATTGCCTTCAAGTTTCTTACAGACAAAAAAAAAAAAAAATAAGTTAGTGTTTTTATTCCTAAACTTGAAGATTGATTTTCAGGCCTCCCCTCCATCGAACAGAAAAAAATGGGAAGTTCAAGCAAAGATCTTCTACGGTTTGAGCACAAGGCTTGCTCTTCTTCACCCCTTGGTAACCATTCTTTTTTCTTCTCTTGTCCTAAAAAAATGTATACTTTATTTTCTCTTCATTGAAAATTTGTATATTTTGTGTTTGTGCAACAGAATCTGCGCTTGTTGTTTGTAAGGAAAAGGACTCAAACTCTCAGATTGATGCTGCTAAGAAACCAGCCATTGCCCAGATTCCTAAAAGTCAAGGTAAATTCTCTCCCGGTGTATATTTTAAGATTTCAAAAGCTTAATGGTAAAAATTGATAATATGTAATTTGGGGGATGTAATATTGTTATTTATGATGAATGAACAATCTTAAAACTGATAGTATGTAATTTGGGATTGGAATTATTGTCTTTGTTTGAGCCTTGAGAATTATAAATATAGGCATATGCTTTGGCTTTTTGGTCGCGTGCACCAGGGATGGACTGAAGGGGAATTCTCGTGTAATTTAGGATTTTTCTTTGTATTTTCTATAGGTAATCTAAAATTTTATAAGTTTGCCCCTTAAAGTTTTATAAGTTCACCCTTTAGACCCTGGTTGCGTGGATTATCGGAGTTCCAGTCATGGGGTATTATAAAGCTTCCTCTGAGTGCTGAAATCTTTCTTTTTGAGAATTGCAGTTTTGGGAAAAGTGAAAGATTTCTTGGGAGTCATGGCTGAAGCTAATAAAAGGCTGGAGCTTGAAGCAAAGGTTCGTTTTCGAATTTTGAACATCGGGGAATGCTCTTTTAATTTCTAACCAATGTTCTTGTTGATGATAATTTAGAATAATTCTCAGGCCTATGATATTGAAGTACTCAATGGGAATGACTCTGAAGTCATTGAAATGGTAACACTAGAACCCAACTCTCTCGCTTTCTCTCTAATTGTACAAATCGGATGGTATACGTGTTTGTTAATAGCTTTTGGTTTTGGACATCGTAAAACAGGATTTGATGTTAGGTGTAGCTGATCTTCACACACCTGAGGCTCTGGCTGCTGCTGAATCTGCAATTGCTGGTGATCAGCCGGTGATTACGGTATCTGGTGGTGGTAGTAATAGTGGAACAGAATCAGATGCTAGCAGCGATGAGGAAAGTGACGGTGATGGTAACAATGATAACGGAACATCCTGCCCTAGGGAACTTGAAAGACCCGATACGGGCAAAGACAATGCTGTTAGTGAAGCAGCAGGAAAGAGTAGATCGAAGAAGCGGGCGAGGATAGTTGAGCTATCTTGAGAATCATTTTTTTGGTTGTGAGAATGAGTTCAGGTAGTAATGTAGAACTCTCTGAACTATTAATTATGTAGTTTGCAGATTCTCGAATAATTTGAGGAGTATCTCTTTGAAATGAAGGATCCTACTAGTGTTCTGTATTAGATTTTGACCTATAAATGAAGAATTAGGATACAATTCATATTATGGTTGAGCATGCAGAGATGATAGAGATGAGCAAGACTTCACTCGATTCAAAATATTGATTTTTTAAATTTTGAGTGATTCAATTCAACTCGAATTATTGTGAGCTGATTTTTCAGTTTTAATAAAGTTGGGATTTAAAATTTTTGTATCAATCAAAAATGTACCAGAGTATTTTGACAGATTTGTGATTTAGTCATTGATTTCCTCATTCCTTCACTCCTTCGGTTTTAATTAAGTTCATTTTTATATCTCTATATTTATCTTTTTTAAGAGTTGATTTAGCATCATCACGACTGATCAATATGTAGTTTATATGTTATTATGTTGATTTTCTATACTTAAGACCCTTAGATTGGATTTGGATACTTGATTTGCATTCATGGATAGTTTTTTCACATCGTTCGACACTAATTTGTTGTTTTTCCATTGGTCTTTCAATGGCTTAATCCCCCTTTGTTGTTTGTTTGCCGATGCGATCAAATATGTTACATTTATCTTTGTTCGAGTTTTGGTTAGATTTTTTAATCTTTCCTTGTATAGTCTTTATGTGATCTTAAGTTGATTGTTTTTTGTCAATGATTTTAAGAAAATGTTATAATTATGTATTTAATTTATATTATGATTGTAAATCTCCACTGTAATTCAGGATATTTTCTTTTTAATAAAATTAGTGACTTTTATAAAAATAATTTTTTTATTTAATTTTCTTTTTTCTTTTATATTTTAAATATTGATGAAGGTAAGGATTAAATTGAATAGAGTAAAATTTAGAGTTCAAATTACGAAGCTTAAGAACTAGCGATGTAATTTTACACTTTTTGAACATATAAATAATCGTGTTCATGAATGCTAAACAAACATATTGAGGAATATATAAACAAATATGTTCGCAAACGTTAAACGAACAGATTTATGAACGTTAAATAAATCAAGCATGAACACATTTAAAAGTAAATCAACGAAAATAATATTAAAAGTTTAAATAAACACGAATTGAATATAATTTTTTTCAAAAATAAATAATCAAACAATTGAATATTAGCCCAAAGAGGTCTTCTAAAACCGCAACCAGATTACAATAAGTTATTTCCCTTCATCAACTCACAAATCTTTTTTATTAAGGGAAATTATAAAATATTATTTATTCTAAATATTTTTTTTTGTTATTTAACAACGAACATTCAATTATGATCCTCTTAATTAATATGGTCATTGTATACTCGAGAAATACTCAAATGTAACGCATGGTCTTATATAAAGATGGCAAACGGACGGGAAGGGTCTAGATATTTCTTCTCTTATCTCCATATCTATCTAATATTTTCGTATCTATAATCTATGACGGGTAATATTTTTGTATCTATTACCTACCCACTCGAGTACATTCTCAAATTCATTCTCACACCCACTATCTAATCGTATCAGTCTGTATCCGCCCATACCCACCAATTTGAGATAAGAGAAATAACAATATTTGGTTCTTAAAAATAATTATATCTTGACATTTGGTTAAATTACAAGTCATATTATGTAAAATCTTAAGATTTACAGAATAATCTCTAAAATTATACCTAAATTCATAATAATCCAAAATTGAGATGGTGGGTAGCTAGTGGACGTGCGGATGTGGGACGAGTAAGGTCTCAAACCCATCACCTACCCATTACATGTATGACTTTTCACATTCACACCCGTCCACTATCCACTACACTTATGCAAAATCCGTGAAATTATACTTGTCTGTCATCCCTAATCATAATCATATAGCACGAACCATGCGGCTTCAGTGATAAAAGAATTGTTGTTGTTCCTTAAGGTTTCGGATTCGAGCATCATAGATATCAAGGGTGTGAGCATTCAATGTTAAATGACTGAAAGTTATTTTTAAACCGGTATTATCTCATATCAATAAAAAAATAATCATAATCATATAGAACTACTACTATTCAGCCTCTTATTAACACGATTATAATGAACGATTCAGAGTACATTCAATAGAAATCATTTCATTTGTTAAAAATTTGCTTATAGAGCTTTCAAAACACTATAAAAAATTTGTAAATTTTCAATAACAGAGTCTTCTCCTCATCAAAACCCATTAATGGCCATTAAGACACCAACCCAATGAGAGGTTGCTGCCAATAAATGTGGTTAAAGTTATTGGTTTACCGGGCTTTATCAACACCGCAAGTGGAACTACTACTAATAATCATATAGGTAAATTACGCATTTAATACCTAAATTATCAGTTTTGATACGTTTTAGTACTTAAACTTTCAATATTTTCAAAATCATACTTAAAGTTTAGTTTTTGTTTCATTTTAGTATCATTTTTCAAAATTTAACGTTAATTTTTGGGGAAAATGAAACTTTTGAAACTAAAATGGACTAAACAGATAGTTTAAGTACTAAAAACATTAAATTTTTAATCATGAGACGCTAAAATGAAACAAAAAACTAAACGTTAGGTATGATTTTTTTAAAATTAAAATTTTAGGTACTAAAACAGATCAAAATTGATAGTTTAGGTATTGAACGCATAGTTAACCCTAACAAAAATTGATGTGAACGAAGTGTTTGGACGATTTATAATTCATAAATTTAAAAGTTGTGATTTTTATAGTTAAATTAAATTTTATTTTTATTAAATTTATATTTAATTTTAATGGTCTAATATCATTTTTTATAAAAAAAATTAGACCACGTTTAATTTTTTTATTAATATGCAATTATAATATAATATATATTTATAATAATTTTAGTGTATTAAGAATGTCTACACGTATCTTGTAAATACAACTACTTGAATCAAGATATTCTAGAGGGAACAATATTCTTTTCCACCATTGAAATCACTTCATAAGTTCATATTAGATCATGCTTAATAGATTAACCCCGTCTACAATCATAATTTAGCCTTGTATAAAAATATTATTTTCTAATATTTAATTTGATTTATCGAATGAATACAATAGAACATAAGAAAATTAATGCAGATGAATTTGATTGCCATTGTTGTTTGGGTTTTCCATCTTCTTGTTGTTGTTGATGATGAATTTGTGAACTTAAATCCCTTTTGTTGTTAAAGCGAGGAGAAGACAGAGTATGCGAATGTGAATTGGGATGAACTTGGATTTGCACAAGGTTCTTAACCTTGAGGTCGTGGGATCGAGTCCCACGGAGGGCATTTCATAATTCGGAGGTCTCTTACGGAAGTTGCTCTCAACCTGGTGTTGGGGGTAGCCTACTATCTTACCTCCCCCTTACCTCATATATATGGGAAAAAGGGACAGCCATTTTTTTTAAGACCGATTACATGGACGTCATGAATTTCACTCAAGATGATGGCAAGTTTTCCCAAGGAACCATCACTCGCTTCGGTAACGTTGAGCTGTGCCCTTCATCTGGAATACTGAACTATGGCCAGGTTACATTTGATAATCACTAGTCTAATCTTATTCGAACTCGACGATGAGCGTCAGATATAAACATGTATATGCATGGTCTATGTGTCAATCATAGATATCGAACATGTATGATTAAGTGTATGATGAGTATCAACCAATGTCAATCACCTAAGGCTATAAAATGGTGGCATCAGGGGTTATTCGAGGGACTAAAGGCGTATAGGAAGGAAGACGAGAGGATTCTCCTCTTCCGGCCTGAAAAAAATGCCCTGAGGATGAAGATGGGTGCGGATAGGATGTGCATGCCATCGCCAACGGTGGAGCAATTCATAGACGCCGTCATAAAGACTGTCCTGGCCAACAAGCGATGGGTATTTGTCATAAGACTTTACGCCCCTTCTTGCCAAAGAATTTGTGTAGTGATTATTTGTATGATACAGGTACCACCCTATGGAAAAGGATCATTATATATTAGGCCTTTGCTTATGGGAACTGGTCAAAATCTGGGAGTGAAACCAGCATCAGAGTACACATTTTTAGTGTATGCTTCCCCAGTGGGCAGTTATAACAAGGTATGCTGCTGTAAGATGCTTCGTTGAAGATCCCGAAACCATGGGAGTTTGCTTATATCTTTCTGTTTTCTTTTGTGTGCAAAAATGAAATGTAATCAGGCTGAACTGAACTTGATGGTTGAAGACAAAGTTCATAGAGCTACTCCTGGTGGTACAGGAGGCGTTAAAGCTGTCACGAATTATTCACCTGTAAGAACTCGTTTTGCCGTTTGATTTCCTTTTGTGCCTCTATATTTACAGGGTATTCTTGACCATATTTTGATTGTAAATGCAGGTTTACAAGCCATTAACTCAAGCAAGAGCTAAAGGGTTCTCAGATGTGTTGTTTCTGGATGCATTGACTGGAAGCAAGATTGAGGAGGGTTCTGCTTGTAACATCTTCATTCTCAAGGTAAAACCGATGGGAATCGGACTAATTTATAAAACGAATCGTGAAGAACATATACACAATCATATGTGTGTTGAAATGCACAGGGAAATGTTATCTCAACTCCAAAAGCTGATGGGACAATTCTCCCAGGAATCACAAGAAAAAGCATCGTGGAACTTGCTTCAGGTTTTGGATACCAGGTAACTGATCAGTATTTACTATGAAACTTTGCCCCAGTTCAACTACATAAAAAGCTGTTTTCGAATATATTTGAATGCCTATTAACTCTCTGGTTGTCAGGTCGACGAACGAGTCGTTCCGGTAGAGGAGGTGTTCGATGCTGAAGAAGTCTTCTGCACAGGGACAGCTATGGTTGTGAAGTCTGTTGCAAGTATAACCTACCAGGGTAAAAGGTGGAGGATAAGTTTTAGCACCATTTATTTGCCCAGTATCTGTCAAAATGGTGATTGCCTGCAAATGTTTCGGTTAAACATTTAGTTTCTATTTCTAATATCTGTTTTTCTTGTTCATCATATGAATTCAGGACTGAATACAAATTGGAAGCAGAAACAGTGGCTCAGAAATTGCATGCAACTCTAACAGGGATTCAAACTGGTGGCATCGAGGACAAGCTGGGTTGGACCATAGCCATCGCTTAACCCCCTATATTCGGGGATGAACCGTGGGGTGCTTCCGGTTACAGAATTGTGTCTTTGAAAATTTTAAATTCTTATATTAACTATTTTTTGGTCAAATTATATAATGTAATTTTGTATTTTTAAATTAAGTATTGAGTTCATTTGCCATTGCCAGGGCGGCAATTGTTAGCCCTTGAACACTTAATAAATTTCCTCATGTATTAACTAATTTTCTGGTCAAATTATATAAAAAGTCACTGCATTATATATTTTTGATACATTTGGTTTTTATATTATTATTTGATATAGACTTTATCTTTTTAATAAGAGTATAAGACGGGGAATTGTAAAGAAAACACATAGCATGTTCATATACAATTGCAAAGCAAGAAAATATTATTTGAAATTACAAGAAACATAATAACCTCTTATACCGATATATTTATTTTTTCCCCTTTTTTGGTATATTTGAAATATTAACAATGCCTAGTCAAACACAAATATTTTAAGAAAAATAGAAAATCGAGATAGAAAACATAAACCATCACTGGAAAACAAAAAATAAGGCTGGGAAGACGAAATAATACATGATTGCACTCAGAAACTTCAAGCAAACTAGCTGATAACAAAAGGGTATGTGAATTGCAACACTGTTTACCATTCGGGTAAAAGGAGGATGCATATGAACGCTGTTTATCGATGAGCCCGACTTGTTCGGCTAACATCTGGACCTGATTCCGAGATTCTTTAATGCCACGACTTTAGGTGGAAAACTTGACAAGCTGGCTTATATGACCTCTTGGTTGAAGCTTGTTCAAACTTCTTTGTGCCGGCTTCATTCTCTTCGAGTTTACTCTGAATAAAATATCTTATCCACCAAGTCGAACTCCGTAATTTGGCCTTCACCAGAAAAAAAAGAGGGAAAATACATTTCATAATGTCAGGCCCTTCTTCAAGATAAGTGATGAATCTATTAAGGTAGGAGCTTATATTCATGACAGCAGGGAATTTTTTGGGGAACCACCACAAATAGTGCTTTCTAAACGTGCCAAAAGCACACAAATCAAACTTGCAACTACTAGAAACAGAGGAAAATTAATTAACCTAATCGTTACAAAATACTCGGGTGATTTATCAATATTAACCACTTACAGGACGACCAAATTTGGATAGCTCTGTAATCTTAGCTCTCTGCCGACCTGGATAACCTGCTCATGGAATCAAGCATCAGCAAGAAACTACAAAACCTGAACTATATCTATGAGAAATAATGAAAAAGAGTGCGTGCAAGAATGCATATTCAAAAGTAGCAATGCGAGTCCAGTTAATATTTCATCACAAAAAGTAGCTAAAGAAAGCTCTATCCCCCCAAGTCAAATCAAGTTTAGGTTTCAGTTTTCTTTTAATAAATGCACACACATATTCAATAGAAAATATTAATTTTATTTCAAGTATATAAAACACAATGAGGAAGTTACCAGAAAATATAATAACACCGTCAGCTGATACCCTCACCAGTTCTGGAAGAGTTTTATTGAGGTACCTAGGAGACAAGTAATCCAAGGCATCTGACACAATGACTAGGGAGAAGGATTTAGCACGGTATGGAAGAGGATACTTGATATCTGCCACACGCACTATGCCTTTCTGCACAAGACTTTTGCAGCTGGCATCAACATCATCTAATTCATATGGTTCCACACCCCAGGCCTGAGTGTCATCCTCTTTTAATAACCTGGACACCACTGAACAACTATCCGGGCCAACATGAAGTACTTTATGCATGCTGTCACCATAAGCCTTCTTTAAAACAGGTAGTGCTCTCTGAACTTCAAATGTGCATGAGGAACCACCTGCATAGCGAATATACATCAAAACTCTCAGTATGAACTTCCCATCCTTTCTTTCTGGGGACTAGACACCCCAGCTAACAGGAAAGGCAGAGAATCAATTGAACAGTTGCAACCTCGAATCCTCAAGAGTAATTTTATTATTTTATTATAGCATTTCCAAGTGCCAATGAAAGAAACATGCATATAACAATAAACTTCTCCTATAGAGTTATAGAACTGTAGACGATACAAATTTCCAAAATTAAGGAGGTGGGCATTAGAGTATTGAAAATCCTATCTACAGATCATTTTGTAATATACAACAACTAGCAGAAGATCATTTTGTAATAAATGTCACTCTTACATAACCCAACACAATCAAATTCATATTATCAAGAACTTGGGAATGACTATAACAAGATGTAACAAGCATTTACCTTCAACTGTACTTGATGCCTCTTTTACACTGGCGGATACACCTGGAAACAAAAAAACAAAATGCTTAATAAAAAAAAAGAAATAAACGCAAGCATGAATCGATGAATAATGTTGGAAGACAACAGCTGATATTTTTCAATCTCAGTATCTTAATTAGCCTGAAATAGAGATTGCTTCATGAACCTTATTAACTCAACGATCGCATCCAAGAAACAGAAGTTTAAAGAGGACAGAAGAAACAAACCTGAACCACTATGCAAATAGCCAATCAGAAGAATTGCACCCTGAAATTTCAAGAAGCGACTTAATCCTTTTTCTTGCATTTTACGCGCACTTTAGAGTATAACTAAAAACTTTCAATTAAGAAATCTAACGGAGATGAACAAGAAAATAACTCCGGCAGCAACTGCAAACTTTCTAATACGAAGAAAACAAAGATGGTAAAAAGGCAGGATGGAAATTCAAATTACCACAACCAAAAGCCCAATAGATAATACTGGCGATGAGCGTGTTTTAGATTGTACTGAGCCAATGAATGGGATGCTTCCACCATCACCAAAGTGTCGAGCAGGATTTACCGGCCTCCTTGACATGATTATGTAATAGTGATAGTACTGCAATCAATGTAAAATGATTTCTGTTGGTGACATAAAGAACATATTATTAAATCTTGAACCCTACGTAACTGCTTCGGCTAAATCAACAGTTCGTAAAGGTGCTTCGGCATAATCACAAATTCCAGTTCAAATTAACAAGCAATCAACGATTAACCCGAATCAAATCCAATATCTGTTCATAATCTACCAGACCCAGATCTGATACGGTTGTAATCAAATTCAAGAAACGGGGGTTTAAGAAAATCAAATCAGTATGAAGATTACCTGAAGCAAGAAAAGATTTCAAGAATTCGAGTGATTTTTCTATGGGCACGATCCAGATCTGTATCTAATCTAATCCTTTCTGAGTTTAAGTTATTTTACACTACTTTTATTTTAATATTTTAATTAATAAAGAGTAAACTGCACTGGTAATCACTGAACTTTTAAGATTATTTCACTTCGGTCGTCAAACTTTTAAAACATGAATTACTATTACTATCATTACAGTCGGTGTCGGTAACTTTTGTTAAGAAATATTACAGTGCGAAGTTAAATTCTTCTTCATAAAAAACCTTACTTTTCCATATAGACAACCATCAGAAAAGTTCAAATTTTGATGTGGTTGTCGGCCATTCCCAACAGTCGAAAGGATCCATTTGATTAGAAAATTAATATATTTTAATTTTAAGTTAATTCGATGATTAATAATAATATTTTAAAAAGTTTTAAGCTTCTATTATATATTCATCTAATTTTATTGTCATTTTTGCTGCTGTTATGTAGTTTTTTTTATTGAAGATATCGTCAAACTTGAAATCAAACTATACTAATCTTCCAGCCAAATCAGATCTTTCTAATCAACTTGAAATCAAACTATACTAATCTTTCTAATATTTCATTTTCAATTGTTTAATCTTTTATGGCAACTACAAATTTGAAACTTCAGGATTTTTTTAGGAAATAATAATTTAACATATTATGTCAATATTTCCTAATGACGACTAATGACAATGACGATAAATAAAATGAATTAAAAATTTAATGATCGTAATATAATTTTTTAAATTTTAATGATCAAAATAAAAGTATCCAAAACATTCAGTGTCTAGAAATATAGTTTATCCTTGATAAAATATGTGCGTGAGATTTTTTTTTTAATTACATAGAATCTGAGATCTAGAAGACAAACCATATATCCATTTGGCGTTTGAGGGAAAGAGAAGATTCCCTGGCGGAGTCTCCGACATGGCCAGCAGGTTTTGTTCGTACGTCAGGCATGAACCGAGTTAACGTCAACAATTTGACTGAGTGACTGTTTGTTTGGTTCTGAATAGAATCATTCAGCGTTGAATGTTGAACCGTTCAGTATTCAGCGTGTTTGTTTTTCATCTCTGAATGATTCAGTGCTGAATGATTCAGCAAAACAGTGTTGAATGATTCAACAAAACAGTGTTGAATGATTCAGCACAGAAGTACATTATGAATGATTTAGATCCATTATCAAACAACATGTCATATTCAGAGTTAATTTATACAGAGTCTCTAAATCATTCAACATTTGAATCATTCAGCGCTTAATCATTCTGAAGTAAACAAATAGTCATTTACTCTTCTTTTTACGTATAAAATTAGTTTTATTATTAAATTAATAAATTATATTTGAAAATTTTATTAATTTATTTGTTCGGTGATATATTTAATCTAATTAAATCTTTAAATTTAGATTATTTTACCGATTCGTTTATTTAACCAATATTGTTCGTTAAATTTAACAAAAGTTGCAATTCTGATCTCTCAAAATCAAAGAGAAAACGGTAACAAAGATGAGATCGGCATGGCTAAGGCTAAGGCTTATTGAAGATTTGACAGCTTGCCAAATAGATTTTGTTTGATTCTTCGACAGATAACACATCATAATCTGTTTCACTATCCCTTTCTTCTATGCATTTCCACTTGTCCTTGCAAATAATTTCTTCTAATTTGTTTTATAAAGAAAAATAAGGTATGATTGTTGAGATGCACGTATGAATGACTACATGTTAAATCGGGTTGAGTTAGATTTTCGATTTATTTAAATTTTATTCAAAAATTAAGTATCTTTATTTGCATCTAATTCAACTTAGATTCAAGAAAGGATTCATTTGATTTCCAATCAATTCCGATTTTTAATTAGAACTCACGTTCAATTTACACTCTATTTGACTCAAAATCTTCTTAACCTATTAATAGTGCACATACATTTTACAAACCTTACTGTTCGAATCTAAAATCTCTAGAGAGATTAATTATCTCTTTAATAATTAAGACCGCCTTATATGTTTACCCTTAACAAAAAACTTTGTTCGTACCGAACCCGAACTAAAATTAAAATCACCTCATCAAATTCGAACCGTCCTTGTGTTATATATACGTTAACGTTGTCTTAAGCGATGGGTACAATAGCAATGATAACAGTATGCATATACCTCGTTCACAATACGATAATAGTAAATAAGTAGTCGTTGTTGCCAATCAATGCTTCGTTGGGTAGCTTTCAATGTGTAGTTCATGTCTATGCCCCGCCTAAAATAACCTAACCCCATTCAAATTATTGAGCCAATCTGAGGGTTCATTTGATAAACAAGTGAATTTGGCCATACATTTTAAATAAATTTAATGCATTAAGTTAATTATTTTTTCTTAGAATGATTTAATAAATTCTATAAAAACATATAAAGTTAATTATTTTTTTTCAAATAAAATTAAAAATTAATCTTTTAATTTAATAATGATATAAGTAAGTATTAAGTTTAGTATAATAAAAAAATATTCACATTATAGTTGAGTGTCGAAGCTTTTTGGCTTTAATTTAAAGTGTCTCATATTTAAATCTTATAATTATCAAAAAATATTTATTTTATGGTTATATAAGTTAAATGAAAAATATGGCAAAACTAACCCAAAGATTAACTTAGCTTAATGGTTGAGTATTTTTCCTCTCATGCAAAAGACCTAAGTTTATTTCATACCGAGGGCAAGAATGATTTATTTTATTTTACCCTTATAGGCGATGACATTATCTAATTGATAGAATAAAATTATTTAAAAAATACCGATAAACAAAAAGAAAGGTGACACTAAAATTTTAAAAAATTTAACATGTCATGTCATATTAATATTATTTTTAAAAAAAATTAACGATGGGTACCAGATTAGAAGAGTAAACGTCGTATATTATTAAAAAAATAAAATTTAGATAATAAATGAAATAAAAGTGATATTTTAAGTATTAAAGGAATATTTTACTTTTTTTAATATTTATATAATAAAGATAATTTAATTAATAATATATTTTAATGTGGCGCAATAATTATATATTTCGATGTGCGAAGTTGTCTTTTTACATTTCCACCATATTCCATGCACGTGACGTATAATCTAGTTTGATTAGAAATAATTGGAACTAATTCCAATTGAAATCACAAAGCCTAAGCTATTAGTGCACATGCTACAACACGTCACTGTCTTAACCAGAACGAGACTCGGATCTTCCCTTTTCAAGCCAAATCGGCCGCTTAGTCAAATGATTTTTTAAGGTAAAATACACCTTTGATTATTTAATTATGTATTTAATAATAGATGGATCGTTTTTTTTTCTTCTTAAAAGTTAAAAATACACCACTCAATTGAAAAATTATTACAATGGAATAGGGTTTAATTTACCATAATATATTAATAGTGTTATTCCTTAAATTTATATATTTTACTTAATTTAATCTTAATTTAAAATATTTTCACAAATATAACTCTTTATATTTGATTTTATATTAACTCAATTATTTTTTAAGATATTGTTAAATCAAACGAGTTTGTCTAATCAAAACAGTAACAAAAATAATTACATGTTATCATAAAGTAGCAACAAGTTACTATTAAACTGGTAGCACGAACTAAGTATAAGTAGCCTCTGTAGTAAAGAAATTATTGTTACTCATTGATGACCTGAGTTCAAATTCTATATATGTAGGGATGGGCATGGGTCGGGTTTCAGCCAACCCGACCAGAAAATTTTACATCTTTCACTCGATCCAACCCGACCTGAAAAATATATACCCTCCACCCTACATGAACCAACCCGAAAAATATATACCCTCCACCCTACCCGAAACCTGACCCTATATTTCAAGATAAAATCCAAACCCGATCTGAGCGAACATACATGAAATAATAAAAATATTATTTTTATTTAATAAAAATAGTGATTTAATTAGAAAAAATTAATATATAGAGGGATTTTATTGTAATTATTTATAAATATATAAGGTAAAATTATATTTTTTCCAGATCGAGTCGAGTATTTTTCATCCTAAACAAAAAACCGACTCAACTCGAACATCACCTTTAAAAAATTCGACCCGTCCCGATCAAACCCGAATTTAAAAAATCACGACCCAATCGGATCGGGTCGAGTCAGAACCCATCAGATTCGAGTCTCATGTCCATCCCTATATAGATGCCATGAGTACGATAGTTCAATATCAAAATATTGAAAGTTATGTTAAACAAATATTTAAAGAGAAATATAAATCCTAAATTGATAGAAACTGAAAGATTAGGTTTATAAAATTATTTTAAATTATAATTAATTTATAAAAATATATAAAATTTAATAATCAAGACTGTTAATATATAAAATCAAATTATCATTTTGACATATAACTTGTCTATAATAATATTTTAAATTCTTATCTTATTTTTAACTTTTAAAATATAATTAGTTTACTACCAAACATATAATTAAGTTACGTGGAGTGTATTTGTTTTATTACTCCAACTCTCTCTCTCTCCTTCCTCTTTCAAAATAATACGACAAAACTCTTTTTTCCGCATTATCTAAAAAAGAAGGCCAACAGCTCGTAACATATGACAATATGCTTTTGGCAATGGAATCGTCGTTTTTCTAACTACAGCTCCAGGATTTCATTTTGAATTTTTCCTTCTTTTTTCCAGGTTGATTTTTAGAGAAGTAATTGAATGGCGGTGGAGTTAAAGTGTTGCCAAACGGATTTCTTCGTTTACTTGGTTATAATAATATTGTTGGTGGTCTTCGCCGGACTGATGTCCGGCCTAACTTTAGGCCTCATGTCGTTGAGTCTTGTCGATCTCGAGGTTCTGGCCAAGTCTGGTACTCCCGCCGATCGTAAACATGCCGGTACTTCTTTATTTTCTTTTATTTCCTGTAATTAATTAAGAAAAGAAAATATAACAATTACTTGGTCTAATTTATGAGGAGCAATTAGCAAATGAGTTCGAATCATTAATGGAGTATAGAGTGTTTACCTTTTTACTGAGGTTGATGTTAGCTTATCAGTATTAATTGCTTGTCCGTACTCAAATTAGGTTCCTCCCTCTCTCTCTCTCTCTCTCTCTCTCTGAAAGGAAATCAAGCGAACGAAAGAACAGAATCAATTAATTAGAAATAGTGAGATTTAGAAATTACATAACAAAAAGTGATGGCTAATGAAAATTTTTCTATATTTTGTTCTGACTGATGTTTAAGCTAACTTCATGCCTTATTCAAACAGCAAAGATTTTGCCGGTTGTCAAAAATCAGCATTTGTTGCTTTGTACGCTGCTTCTATGCAATGCTGCTGCAATGGAGGTATATATATATATTAAAGATTCATCTCCAATAGATGATCTCGTTTCGTGATTTTGGAAATTATATGTATATAATTTATATATTTTAAGTTTTTTTGTTACTTTTATCAGGCACTTCCCATTTTCCTTGATAGTCTGGTCACAGCATGGGGTGCTATCCTGATTTCGGTTACCTTGATTCTTCTGTTTGGTGAGGTGAGAATCCACTTTAATTAGATTTATCGCTTCTAATTCAGCCCAAGTAGTAATCCTTTTCCTCGGATTTTCTCGCTTAAATCTATTCTTGGAAAGTAGATTTGCATACAACTGCATTGAAAAGGAAGCAAGTTCTGTGCCTGATTACAATTTAATTGTATGTGCAGATAATACCACAATCTGTTTGTTCTCGGTATGGTTTGGTAATTGGTGCAACGGTGGCTCCTATTGTTCAAGTTCTTGTTTGGATCTGTTTTCCTGTTGCCTACCCAATAAGCAAGGTGATGAATGTTGCTATAAGCCTATAATTCTTCACCATTAATGCCGTTCTCATGGTGAGAAAGACAATCGTACTTGTAAAATTCTTGCATATAAGCTGTCTTTTGAATGATTTTATGTGATTTTCAGTTGTTGGACTTTCTCCTGGGACACGGACATGTTGCACTTTTTCGAAGAGCTGAGTTGAAAACCCTAGTAAATTTGCATGGCAACGAGGTATGCTTAACAGCTTCTCGGCATTTTTGAGAAATATTGCATAAAAACCCTTTTAGTTTCCCCTATATATAGTCGAGTTGTTATTTACTGGGCTGTTGCCATTTATCGAATCAATTCTTGTTTTTGATCATCACTTTCAGATTTATGATCCTTTTATTGGACTTTTATTAGGCTGGGAAAGGTGGAGAACTAACGCATGATGAGACAACAATTATTGCTGGAGCACTTGAGCTTTCTGAGAAAACAGCTAAAGATTCCATGACACCCATATCCGAAACATTTACAATCGATATTAATGCCAAGCTTGACAGGTATGACTTGCTGTAAATGATCGAGAAAGATAGCACATGCATCTTTCTCAACTTTCATTAGATAAGTACCATTACATGTTATGGACAGGGAATTGATGAGTTTAGTCTTGGAGAAAGGGCATAGCAGAGTGCCAGTTTATTATGAGCATCCTACAAACATCATTGGAGTCATTTTGGTAATCATTTTCTTTGGGTACAATATTTTCAGCTCATCATTTTCGTCTCTTTCGAAGTGTTCCCTTTTAACATTAAATTATGCTCTCTGAAAATTAATATCATGATTCATGAGCCCCTTTCTGAGTGTTCATTGTGTGTTTATCAATGATTTATCTTTTGATCTTCAAGGTCAAGAATTTACTGACAATCCACCCACCATGAAGATGAAGTGCCTGTGAAGAGCGTTACAATACGAAGGATTCCAAGGTATCTTAGAGTAAATGAACTCTTGCAAAAATGGACAACTTCAATTTATATTATTGTGCAAAGCATTCACCGTCCACCCCTTTGACATATTGATTGACTATATGTATGAATATATTTGGATGTTATAGGGTTCGAGAATCGTTGCCATTGTATGATATGTTAAATGAATTTCAAAAGGGTCATAGCCACATGGCCGTCGTTGTAAGACAATGCAACAGGTCAGATCAGGCGCCTTCCAGCAACTCTGCTGGGAGTAAGTATCAACCTCCCTGGGACATATTCTTTCCAATTTTCACTCATACCATGATTTAGCGGACGGTATGAACATATTTGCTATTGCGATCTTTGTCTCTTGACATAGGTCCTTTGCCAGAAGTGAAAGTCGACATAGATGGTGACAAACATCATCGAGAGAGTTCTTTAAGACGAAAGCGTTCACTTAAGAAATGGCAAAGCTTTCCCATCACTGGTAATTCTAGTGGTTCTCGGAGCAGGAAGTGGACAAAAGGTGTTGATTCAGACGTCCTACATCTAAATGGCAATCCACTCCCAAGACACTCCGAAGAAGAGGCTGTTGGCGTAATAACAATGGAAGACGTCATTGAAGAGCTTTTACAGGTACCATTTCCATTTACCATATTCAGCAGCAAGCATCTGATTCCTCTTCTGTCAACAGTTTCTCACACATATGCCTTATGTTTGTGCCCTTGGCCAGGAGGAGATCTTTGACGAGACAGATCATCAGTACAATGACTCATGATATCCGTCTTACTAAAAGTTTTTCTGCTAAAATGCTTATTTGGGTTTCCTCTCGGTAGCAGTATAAGAAGGGATCAGAGAAGGAAAAACTCAAACTCTGGTGTTCAAGCATATATGATTAATTAACATCATAGAATAAGAGCTAAGAATCTAGTAGTGTACCGAAGTTGGCAAATACTCAGCTTCACTTGCTAAGTTCTCTTCTTTTTTCTACTTATCTCTACCTTTTTCTTTAGATTTGTGCTTCCTAGTGTGTTTTTTATCCGATCTCGCAAGGTGGTCCTTATATTTCTTCTTTCTATGTTCATGGGGCTCTGAATCGAAAAATGATTCATCATGCCCCAGTGAATAAGGCTTCTCAGGACCCAACTTGACACAATGATTCATTCCGAGGGATGTAGTAGGAGCTTCCCTGGGAACTCAGAACTTGTAGGCAGATAAGGTCCAGTTTCATCCATCCTTGAACCTATAGAACATCGACCACGCTTCACCCTGTCATCATAAGATGGGTTTCAGGTCAGTCGAGAAAACATCTCACCATTTGCTTTCCCTAGTAAACATCTAAGTCAACATGCATAGGCTAAGAAGTGGCTTCAAATGCAAAGAGACTCTTTGTGTCAAACCACTAATTCTTCCTCAAAATAATGATTTGTTCATATAAGTTCAATACAAACCTTGACTTAAGAAATTCATCGATCTCCTCGTCTCTTAGACCTTCATCTTCCCTTGAATAACTACCGGCTGCTACTCTCATGCTTGATGAGCATGAAACACCAACATTGCTCCCATGCCTCCTATTTGTCCTTCTATAGGAGATGCTACTATCCACATGATTACTGTTATGCCCGCTATTGTCTTTTGATCTTGCTTTTAGCCTATCATTTAGTTCCAGCTCCTTTTTTCGAACTCGCCACATCTCATTCACTTCAACAGCTCGATTTGCTGAAAAAGAGGTAGACAGAAACACTGGTAATTTAAACACTAGCAACAAAATCTGAAAAAATAAGAATCCATTGTAAGAGAAGGCATTCACATAAAAAGATCAATAGGGGGAAAGTTGAAAGATTATCATCATATTTCCTCAAGTGTAGTCTCTACTCTTTAGCTATATACAGAAACTTTTGAAAAGGTTAATGTCATACCTCTAACTATATGAAGATAATTTTAAAAAGACTAACTATGACATTGTGGGTCTATACAAGTATCCGACAACCTAACCTCACTCAAGAACTTGTCAGCAAGCAAAGAAGATGAAGACTCGGCATCAATTAAATCCAGAAACCTTAATAAGGAAACATAATAACAAACCTTGCTGCACGCCAAGCACAGTTGCTGTGAGGAACCGCGAATTCGGGAGACTCCTTACTTTAGGTTGCTGAAGATAAACATGAATGCCATCCCTCTCTGCTCTTCGTCTCAATTCTGCAGCTTCTTTCAGAAGAATTGCAGCTATTCTGTTCTCTGTTTCCAGATCCATTTAAGCTGCAAAGACGAGCATTTTTTTTTCAAAACCACGTTTCATGAACAGATGCAATTCTTAAAACCCACCCAGAATTTACCCATGTCGAGATTGATCAAAACCAACTAAAATCAGTTCAAAAACTATGATCACAGAGGAAAGTCAGCCAAATTTCAAGAAACAGCATTCATTTGATCAAACCCTCCATTTATTGTTCTCTTTTTCACATCCCCAAATCCTTAGGACAAATCAGCCGTTCATACCAAATTTCTCAATAACTATTTACAGGAATTCAAATTAGGTTAAAAGGTGATCGAGGATAAACTTGAGGATGTTCTTGCGTTGATGTCGGTTCAAGTTTGCACTAAGGGTGTGCCCTTAATTGGGTTTATTTGGATTCAGGTAACCGCAAGTGTTGGTGGTGAAATTTAACGACAAGTCTCCAAATATCCATAAAAATTACCCAATTACATTTATCCTTCACCCAAATCAGCTCACGCTAGTAACCCATTATACAAGAAACCCAAATCTCATTACAATGTAACCCGAAGCTTTCATCAATGTTCAAAAACCAAAGGCACATCCATTAAACTCAACTGTTTAAACCATTTATAATTGATCAGTACCCTCTACCCAGTTACAAAACCACAAACACAAAACAGTTTCATCATCAACGTGTCATGCAAGGAGGAATAAAACAAAAACAGAAAAAGAATTAGGGGAATAAATTTTAGATTTTTATCACTGTAAACAGAGTAATTCTACCGTGCGACAACCTTAATATACGTCTAAGGAAAGACGTTACAAGTTTTGTTATTATTTTTTTAACAATTCCGATAAAAAATTACCTAAAACATTATTATTTCTACCTAAAATATTAATGTTTTTTAACATTTTCGATGAAGTGTCCAATAATAATAAAACCGGTAAAAATATAATGCTTTAGGTAGTGTTTTACCGGATATGTTAACAAAACCGGTAGAAATAATAATGTTTTAAATATTTTTTTACCAAAAATGTTAAAACAAATAATAACAAAACCGGTAGTACCTTTCCTTAATCGTATATTAAGGCCGCCAAACGTGAGACTTTCCCGGTAAACATTGGGTATAAAACCCCAAACAACTGTAATAGAAAGGGATCTTTTTTCCTTCGTTTTTTAAGAGAAAGTAGGAATGACAACGGATCGGGTTCGGGGCGGGTTCGTTCGCCCTGTCCCCGAACCCGAAATGAATCCCCGACCCCGACGGGTTTTTTATCGGGGTACCCTATCGGGAAATTTTTTTACCTTGTCCCCCCGAAATTTTATACTTGAACCCGAACCCGAAAATATTCTATATATAATTAATATAAAATATAATATATATATATATATATAATCGGGGAGGGTCGGGACGGGGATACCTTGCCCTGAACCCGACCCGGAAAAATCCCCGAAAAAAATCTCCGATACCGACCCGACCCGATATCATTCAACCCGACCCGACCTGAATTTGGCCGGGTCTCGGGTTTCCCCGTCGGGTTCGGATCATACTGCCATCCCTAAGAGAAAGCAATACACAAAATAGTTTTCCCCATTCAATCAATTTCCCATTTTTGAAACAAGCAATACGAAATCTCTTTCCATCTTTTTCCCTAAATTCGAAACAAAAACAAAGAAATATCAATCGATTCTCCATTTTTTTCCGAAAGAGAGGAAATCGTTGTACATTTTTCTAGAAATACAAGAAAAAGAAAAATAGATTCAAAGATATCGAACCATTTTTTCTTTTTCACCAACGTTTTCTTTGATAATATGTATATTTTTGTCATAGACACATACATAAATATGAACACAAACCAGATAGATGATGATAATAGCGTATGTTTCGACCTTAACAATACAAAATCATCCTATGAATGTAAATACAAACCAAAATCCTCGTCAATTTGTACGAACTAAACTATATTAATGGTTAAAGGAATGATTATTATTTTTAGAGATTCTGAGTTCGAATATCAATACTACAGTATCAGTGATTGAACGCTCATTTTTAAATGGTTATAAATATTTAGAACAAATACTACTTTGTAATCACTATAGCTTAATAAAAAAATTATCATCAATTGACCAAGACATTAAAAATATTTTTAACTATTATTGTTTAAAATATAAATATAGTAACTCCCTAAATATTTTTACCAATTTTTTTTCTGATTTTTTTTAAATATTTACCTAAATAAGTCAATTTGGATTAATATTTAGCTTAAAAGTGCTTAATATTCAATGGCTAATTAGATAGTTAATTTAACTTGATTTAAATTAAATGCAGCCCGAGAAGCCCAAACCCAATATACATTTGTATAATCGATTTGACCCAACAGATGCAAACGGGCAAAGCCCGGTGGATTGGAAATCCGGAACAACAATCCGAGGAAAGAATAGTGCGACCTTGGAACCAAACAATATGAGAAACTAGGGTTTTCATGTTATTATGCGCTGGTTCAGTTCCGACACGGTCGATTTCACTCGCATTGTTATCCGAAGAGGTAAAAGCATGCTGGACATCAGTTTGTTCAGAGAGGAGAAGGGCCACAACCCTGAGATCATTCGTGAATCTTTGCGGCGGCGTTACGCCAACGTCGGAGATGTCGATGCCATCATCGAACTCGACAAAGTTTATCGTCAAGGTAATCTCCCAAACTCATTCTCAAGTTTCGATTTGATTTGATTTCTTATTTTTCGTTTTTAATGCTAAATTTCATTTACAGTGTTATACGAACTTGAAAATCTGCGAAAGGAGTTCAATAAGATCAACAAGCAAGTCGCTCAACTTAAAATTGTGAGTTCTCTTTCTCTCTGTTGTTTTTTCCCCTGATAGTTCTAGAATTTTCTTCATTTGTTTTTATTTCTTGAATCGGTGTGGAAAAGGCTAAGCAAGATGCATCAGAGATGATTGCAAAGACAGAGGAAGTTAAGCAGAAAATAGCCGAGAAAGACGTTGAGGTTAAGGATTCGTGGGCTGTTTTGAAATCTAAATTGGAGAAAATTGGTAACCTTGTGCACGATTCAGTCCCCGTCAGTGATGATGAGGTGACTGACGCATCAAATTTTATTCGTTCACTTGTTTTTGGATTGCTTATGATTTAATATGTGTAATTTACTGAACTGGCCAATATATTGCAGGCAAATAATGCTGTGATTAGAACTTGGGGTGAGAAGCGTGTGGAACCTAAGTTAAAGAATCATGTTGAGCTTGTCGAGCTTCTTGGGATTGCAGATACAAAAAAGGGTAATTGCATTTTTCAGGGTTATCATGCTTTGCTGTAATGTAATGGAATATATTGTTTATTGGTTTTAAGATTTAGTGTCTCTCTTTAAGTTATGAGTTTATAGAAACTTAGTCTGTATAATGATGAACTTTGCTTTGTTTTATGCATGAATTATTCTAGCTAATTGAATTGGTTAGTTTATCTTGGAATCATTTTAACTGATGTTCTCTTGCCCTGTACTATAGGTGCTGATGTAGCAGGAGGTAGAGGTTACTACCTAAAGGGAGATGGTGTGTGCCTCAATCAAGCTTTGATCAATTTCGGGCTAGATTTTTTGGAGAAAAGGGATTATACAGCTTTGCAAACACCCTTCTTCATGAGAAAAGAGGTCATGGCCAAGTGTGCTCAATTGGCACAATTTGATGAGGAACTTTACAAGGTAACATTTTTAGATCAATTTGGAAACCTCACATCTTTCCATATTCAATTTTTGTTACTCTTACTTGCTATCAAGGAAGTATTCCTCTTATAATAAGGAAATAGAAACAAAAGAAAATGGTAGCTGTTTTTTTAGGTTAAGAATTTGCCAATCACTAGCCAGGCATGTTTTAGTCAATTATTTCATATTCTATAGTGAAAAGCATTACAGGTTTTGTTGTTGTTCGTTAGGTGACTGGTGAGGGTGAAGATAAATATCTTATTGCAACTGCTGAACAGCCACTTTGTTCTTACCACATAGATGACTGGATCCAGCCCTCTGAGCTGCCTAAAAGGTTCTAACCATGAAAAAGAAGTGATGGCTATATTTCTAGTCAAGGGTTTCCTGCTTCTATTTGTTTATGAAAATATTTTCCCCCCAGATATGCTGGATATTCATCTTGTTTCCGCAAAGAGGCTGGTTCACATGGTCGTGATACTCTAGGAATTTTCCGGGTTCATCAGTTTGAGAAAGTGGAGCAGTTCTGCATTACCAGTCCAAATGGTAATGACTCCTGGGACATGCATGAGGAAATGATTAAAAACTCTGAGGATTTTTATCAGCTGGTATAACTTCTGTCAAATTGCATTTAGAAAGAGTTTCCAGTTTTTTCACCTAATCTCATTTGTATCTGTCATTAGAACTCTTTGAATGTTGGTTTTATCTGTACCAATGAATCCTATCATGCTACCTTTATATTTATTTCCTATGCCATGTGGAAGGGTTAGTGGTGGTAATGGGATAATCTTTTTGTTTTTCATTGTGAAACAAAATCGCTTTTAAATAAAGAAATTGGGATCTTTGCCCTTCAACTTAAAGTGCTCCAAATCTTTCTTTTAATAAAAGTTCACCATGCACAGTTTTCCTCACTTTATTTTGTACTACCTTTGGTTGAAACTTTTCATCTGAAATTTTAAGGCTGAAGAATATTTACATGGATTAGTGTGACTTATGTCTTGCAGCTAAAGCTTCCTTATCAAGTTGTGGTGATTGTTTCTGGTGCTCTTAATGATGCTGCTGCCAAGAAATATGACCTGGAAGCATGGTTTCCTGCATCTCAGACTTACAGAGAACTCGTGTCATGCTCGAACTGTACAGATTATCAATCAAGGCGGCTGGAAATTAGATATGGGCAGAAAAAGGTGGGTTGTATTGGTTTGTCTTGTTATAATATCAAAACCGGAGTGCAAGTGTTTAAGAAATATAAACTGATTCATCCTTTTCCCCCACTTCATAAGAGTTCAGACCAGTTTAGCATTAATCTAAAACTACTTCCAAAGCTTAGTATCTTTCAATTTAAGTCTTGCGTTCTACTGCTTGAATTCTGATCCATGCTTTATAATTGCTTTCTATTGTTTACCTGTTGTTCAGAACAATGAACAGGCA